GATTGTGATAAGTTTTGCAGGAACTGAGTCATACGAATCTGGAACTTCCTGCTCTCTGTAGAGATGATGCTCATTTTGGTAAATGAATGAAAGAGGTAGAGAAGCAGATCTGTAAATGGCATGTTATTTATTAAATAAAAAGGAGGAGCTAATGATCCTGTAATGAGGCTTGATAATATGAATATGTGGTGTATATTGCCATCTTATGATAACAGAATTACAACATGAAAATGAAGTTTAATTTCTTAGTTTCCTAATTAATTAATTAGTAAGTTTGTTTTAATGTATTAATAAAATTAATGAGAATTAAAGTCTGATGGAATACATTCAGTGTCTGAGTTAGCAGTTTGGGAATCTTATTCTCTTATTGTTTTGTTATTCAGTCTAGAAAATGTAACAAGATCATATGGGATGAATGTGCATGTGCATCATGTGGATTTGCACCTCGTCATATAACTGAGCACTTCCTCTGTTTTTGTGTGAGTGTTGAGTGTGTTTCCGTCACTGTGGGCCTCAGAGCACAGTAGTACACAGCAGAGTCAGACACATGTTGGTTTTTGATCATCAATGGAAATGTTCTTGATGTAGAGTTCAATGTTGCAGAAAATCTCTTCTTAAAATCAGGTTCTGTGGTGTATTGACCCAGAATTAATGTTGGTGATCTGTTTGGTAGCTGTTTGTACCAGAAAAGGTTTATGTTTGTAACAGTGGTAAAATAATTACACATTACAATAACTTGATCTCTTTCACTTGCAGTCAATTCTCTTAAGGACTGTTCAACCCTGTCCTGTCCCGAAGACACTGGAAAAATATACAGAAAAAGTAAATCATTAACATTATTAGGAAACTAAGTGTAAATATTTAGTAACCTATATTCAAGTAAACTTTTTTCTGTTTAAGTAAGCAGAAACAAAAAATTTACTTACCATCATAATGTGCTATGAAGCATAGAGAAATCAAAGCCCATCTAAACATAGTTGATCTATGAGGTAAAAGAACAGAAAATTCACTCGGCTTTCAAAAGCTCTGTGTTTATGTCACAAAGCTCTTCTTTAAATGTTTGTATCATGTCACATGATATACTCATACATGAAGAGAGCAATTCTGACCCCTTGTGGATGAAGTTTGAAATGGCTAAACATGATGATATTCTGCAAACCCTGAACAATTCTTTATAAAAGTATGATTGGTATAAATAGTGTTTTTGAACAAATGCTTAATAACCACTATACTTATGTTTTACTTGAGTATGTTATAAAGCTTTTCATTCATTTTTAGAATAACTGAGTATGTACTGCATGCTTACAGTCTGAGTTTAAATGATCTTATGACACAGTCTGTCAGGTTCAGCAAAATACCCTCAGATATAAACCCCTCTTTTCTCACCACCTGGGAAAAAGCAAATGCATCTAAAGTTGATTTTATCACCTTTTTGAACATGATTGCCTTATAAAATGTTATGAATATCTGGAATAACATCTTTTAACAGAGTCTTTGTGTCACCCTTTCTGTTATATCTTTTTATGTTGTGAATGACAATCTATAATGCTGTTTTTTACTGAATAGAGGGGTGTCACCTACAGTATAGCAGATATGGAGGTTGGATATGTGTCATGTAGATGCAATAGTGTGTATCAGGTTTTTGTAGTAATGATTATATGCAGATGAATAACTGCAGGATAATTTAACACTTGAACCCTCGTCAGCAAACTCCAGTGTTTTGGTTGGTTTGATTTCATTTCCATGCGTTGCATCTGCAAAAGTAGATCAAATCTTAAAGAACAGGTGTTTAAATTGAATCTATATTCAATTTAGACGTATCAGTATAGAACACAATATACTGCATGAATAACACTTTATACTTAATTTTGAGAAGAAATTAGCAGTTCTGGCTGCTCAAGAGTACTGGGATGCAAGGCAGAAATTAGAATGACAGAATGGAGCATCATTGTGTGTGTTTCTTATTCTCTCTCTAACAGACTTGAAGTTTAAGAAGATCACATAATTTATCAATGCTTTAAACCCCACCTCTTCTAGAGAGCTCTTTGAGAGAGAAGATCAGATCAGATCTGTTTCATACACCACTGGATCATTTAATTACTATTCAAATCCTATTGTACCCTCTTGTGGTTGCTTACTACTGTAACTCTGTCATATAATTTTAGCAAATGGCTGCAATATAACAAAGAGTGAAAAATTTAAGGGGGTCTGAATACTTTCCGTACCCACTGTATATATATATATATACAGTAAGTCCTCAGAACACAACAAACAGAATATGAACTAAATTGTTCCTCATACTTTGGTTGTTATAATACTTTAGATCTCATAAGGTTGATGACACTCATTTTGCACAGCACTAACTAAATAATTAGATTTGTTTTTATTATATGCATATTATTGTTGTGGAACAGAATTAAATAGCATGTGGATTTGCACCTTGTCATATAACGGAGCACTTCCTCTGTTTTTGTATGAGTGTTGAGTGTGTTTCAGTCACTGTGGGCCTCAGAGCACAGTAGTACACAGCAGAGTCAGACACATGTAGATTCTTGATCATCAATGGAAATGTTCTTGATGTGGAGTTCATTGTTGCAGAAAATCTCTTCTTAAAATCAGGCTCAGTGGTATATTGACTCAGAATGAATGTTGGTGATCTGTTTGGTAGCTGTTTGTACCAGAAGAGATATGGAGTTCCAGAAGTAGTATAAGTACACATTAAAATAACTTGAGCTCCTTCATTTGCAGGCATTTCTCTTGAAGACTGTTCAACATTGTCTTGTCCTGAGGACACTGGAAAAAAAACAATATAAGTCATTTACATAAATTATTAGCATTAAACTTAAGCATTTAGTAACCTGGATGTAAGTAAAGCCTATTCTTTTAAAGTATACAGAAATAGAAAAAAAATGTGCTTACCATAATAATGTGCTGTGAAACACAGAGAAATCAAAGCCCATCTAAACATAGTTGATCTATGAGGTAAAAGAACAGAAAATTCACTCAACTCTGCTCTCAAAAACTCTGTGATTATCACACAGAGCTCTTCTTTAAAGGTTTGTATGTCACATGTTACACCTATAAATGAAGAGAGCAGTGCTGACCCCCTGTGGACGAAGTTGGAAATTGCTAAATATTGGCTGCATCCGAAATCACATACTTCCCAACTTTATAGTAGGCAAAAGACAGTATGTGAGAAATAAATTCTGTCAAAATTCACAGTACTCATAAAAGAGTAGGCAAAATGTACCCTGATGCCCTACTACTTCTGGCGTGATTCTGAAGTGTACATAAGATGGACACTTTAATATCCCATGAAGCCATGGTAGAGGATTTAAGAATGGCAGTGACAGAAAGCAACTGATGCAGATAGGTCACGTGACAATGACAACATGGTAAACATAGTACACTCATCAAGCATTTGTTCAAAAACACTATTTATACCAATCCTACCTTTATAAAGAATTGTTCAGGGTTTACAAAATAACATCATGGCTGCATCTGAAATTGCATACTCTCTTGAGTAGGTACTTTTTTGAAGTAATTACTTCGTGGCCACAAAAAAAATAAACAAATATTTTATCACCTTTTTGAACATGGCTGCTTTATAAAACATTATGAATATCTGGAGAAGCATCTTTTAACCGAATCTTTGTGTATCACCTTGTGAATGACAATCTATAATACTGTTTGCTGAATAGAGGGGTGTCACCTACAGTATAGCAGATATGGAGGTTGGATATGTGTCATGTAGATGCAATACTGTGAATCAGGTTTTTGTACAGTGTTCTTGTGTTTCCTGTCACTGTGGGCTCCAGAGCACAGTAGTACAGAGCAGAGTCTGATATAGATGCAGAGGAGATCTCCAGATCCACAAGGTTTTCTTTGTCTTTGGTGACTTCGGCAGTGAATCTGGAATCTACATTAGACTCCTGAGCTTGTTTTCCACTGTCTAAGATGAGCACAATGAACTCAGGAGCTGATCCGGGATACTGACGATACCAGTGAAGAGCATATGCAGATGAATAACTGCAGGATAATTTAACACTTGAATCCTCATAAGCAAACTCCAAAGTTTTGGTTGGTTTAATTTTATTTCCATATGCTGCATCTGCAAAGGTGGATCAAAGATTTTTATTTATTGCAATATACAACATAAACAAAAACACTTTATACTTAATTTTGTGCAGAAATTAGCCATTCTGGCTACTCAAAGTTCTGGGGTGCAAAACACAAAACACTTCAATACTTACATGCAAAGGCAGAAAGCAGAATGACAGAATGGAACATCTTTGTGTGTTTCTTATGCTCTCTCTGACAGACATGAAGTTTAAGAATATCACATCAGATATCAGTGCTTTAAACCCCACCTCTTCCAGAGAGATCTTTGAGAGACAAGATCATATCAGATCAGATCTATATCATACACCACTGTCACTTGAGTACTATTCATATCCTATAGTGCATAGTACCCTCTTGTGGTTACTAAGTAACTCTGTCGTATGATACAGGATTTCGCCTAGGGCGTCAAATTGCCTAGAAACGGCCCTGATACAGTATATGAATATGATCTGGATTAATTCATCCTACTTTTGTTGTTATAGTACTTTAAACACATAAATCAGATTATTAGTGAGTGTCTGTTTAGATGTGCATATTCACACAGAGTGAATTTAGGGATGTGGTTTATTTTGGTGGTAAACAATTATTCATTTGATATACCTGTACAAAAAACAAAAGCAAGTTGAATTGTATTTAAATCAACTGATCTTACATCGTAGAGTACAGTGTTAACAATTAATATTCATAATAGTATTGTTAACACATAAGCATAATTTATCATACCACTTCTGCAACTACTGTATATGATTTACCCCATGTCACATTAATGCAGTGTAAATTTATAATTATCTATATTTATAGAAAAAAAATTGGTTGTACACCTTCATCTGTGTCAGGTTTTTGTACAGTGTTCTTGTGTTTCCTGTGACTGTGGGCCTCAGAGCGCAGTAGTACAGAGCAGAGTCTGATACAGCAGCAGAGGAGATGATCAGATCCACACGTTTGATTTCTTTTGTGGCTTGTTTTTCTTTTCTGAGTTTAGTAGAGAACCTGGGATCTACATCAGATGTCTTAGTCTCTTTCACACTCTCCATTATAAGCACAAGAAATTGAGGAGCTGATCCGGGATACTGACGGTACCATTGAAGTGATTGTGCAGAGGAATAACTGCAGGATAAAGTAACAGTTGAACCCACTGCAGCAGATTCCTCAGTGCTTTCTGGTGTGATTTCATCTCCAAAACTCACACCTGGAAAAGAGAGAGAGAGAAAAAAACATTTAATTTTCAAATAGTGCTGAAATTGATTTATAACAGTGATTTGAAATTGTACAATACATACAGCAAGTGATACTAGTTAATTATATTAAATATTAATATTGCATTATCATTGTGATTAGATTTTAAATTGTAGTAGCAGAAAAAATTTACATTATTTAAGGACGTAATAAGTTTATCTTTTCAGTGAAAAAGTTCATTATGCATGTAAGATGTGAAGATAATTTGACAAAATATTACATGTATATTCTCAAATTAGAAATGCAAAAGCATGCAAAACACACACAAATGCACTTACTTGCCAAGGCAGAGAGCAGAATGACTGAATGAAGTATCATTGTACATGTGTGTGTCACTACAGCAGGACTGAGCTTTGTGACAGTCAAGAAAATGTAACAAGATCATCTCAGATCTATGCTATAAAGATCTATAAACTCCTCCTCTTTCAGTCTGATGCCAACAAAAGCTCCACTCATATCTACACATATACTAACTAAATGCGAGATCTTATGGAGGTTCACAGAAGATTATGAATAGCATTTTATGGTATAGACCTTATGTAAAATTTAAATTTATAGTGATGAGCACTAAATAATTTAAAATTCTTAAAAATATATATGAGTAGTTTACAGCACTACAGTTCCAATTTGTGGAATTGTGAAATGGATTTAAACTCGGTTCAAATGTCATTCCAATTCTGTGGAGCTTTATGCTTCAGTTCTGTGCACACAGATTTTAGGAAAGCGAGTTTTTGTGTGAGTGTTGAGTGTGCTTCAGTCACTGTGGGCCTCAGAGCACAGTAGTACACAGCAGAGTCAGACACACGCACATCCTCGATCATCAGTGGAAATGTTCTTGATGTGGAGTCCAGTGTTGCTGAAAATCTCGTTGTAAAGAACTCAGTGGTGTATTGATTCAAAATGAATGTCGGTGATCTGTTTGGTAGCTGTTTGTACCAAAAGAGATAATTAGTTGTGGAAGTAGTAGTATAATTACACATTAAAATAACTTGAGCTCCTTCACTTTCAGTCATTTCTCCTGAAGACTGTTCAATCCTGTCCTGTGCTGAGGACACTGGAAAAATAGACAGAAAAAAGTAAGTCATTAACATGAATTATTAGGAAAGTATACTTAAAAATGTATTAACCTGAATGTAAGTAAACCCTTTTATTATGAAGTAGGCTTATACAGATGTACTTACCATCATAATGTGCTGTGAAACACAGGGAAATCAAAGCCCATTTAAACATAGTTGATCTATGAGCAAGTATTCACTCAACTCTGCTCTGCTCTGTGTTTATCTCATAGTGCTCTTCTTTAAACGTTTGTATCATGTCACATGATATTCTCATACATGGAGAGAGTAAGGCTGACCCCTTGTGGATGAAGTTTCTAATTGTTTAAAAATTGTTACTTTGGAAGCCATTTTTCACAAAATTAGTATTAGCCTGAATATGTTTTTGAACACATGCGTGATCCCCACTACTCATCTCTCAATTGTAAAGCCATTTAGTTACTGGATATAGCAATGGGCATTATGTGCCTATTTTTTCTTATTTCTTCCTTGCATTAAAGTAAATGATCTGAAGAAAGTGTGCCTTTTATACACAATGTATTGACCACATTTGTGCATGTGAAAAGTTGATTTCTGCCATATTGTTTTAGTCTGACACTTTTCTGAACATGCTTAGATATACCAGAGGGGTCTGAATATTATTCACGATTTAAGGGTCTCATTTCTCCCTGTCTGTAGAAGACTATTGTTTCTTTTTAGAGTCAGGTTTTTGCACAGCGTACTTGTGTTTCCTGTCACTGTGGGCCTCAGAGCGCAGTAGTACAGAGCAAAGTCTGATAATGCAGCAGAAGAGATGATCAGATCCACATGGTTTTGTTTGTCTTTTCTATTATTAGTACTGAATCTTTGATCCACATCAGACGTCTGAGCTTGTTTTGCTCCATCTGAGATGAGCACAAGGAACTCAGGAGCTGATCCGGGATACTGACGGTACCAAAGTAAAGACCATGCAGATGAATAACTGCAGGATAATTTAACACTTGAACCCTCTGCAACAAACTCCTCTGTTTTGTCTGGTGTGATAGTATCTCCATTACTGGCACCTGCAAATAAATGTGAAATGTTAGGTTTGTCATTTTAGTCTGAAAGGGCACTATACTGAAAATAATAATAATAATAATAATAATAATAATTCATTACATTTATATAGCGCTTTTCTAGGCACTCAAAGCGCTTTACATTGTCAGGGGGTATCTCCTCATCCACCACCAGTAAATGGAAGAATTTAAATAGTTTATGTACTTTTAGTGCACTTTTTATATATATTAAGTCCCCAAATAATAAAACCATGCTTAATTCTTCACTTTGATTATAAAGGTAATGCTTTTAAAAACAATGGTACTTACATGCTAAAGCAGAGAGCAGAATAACTGAATGAAGTATCATTGTGTTTTTGCTTACAGTCTCAGATTAAATGATCTTATGTCAGTTTTGACAAACTACTGTCAGATATACTTTAAGCCCCTCCTTCCTCGCCACCTGGGAAAAAGCAAATGTATCTAAATTAACAATCCATGCGTGCAATAATACATTGTGCTTTATAGAGGGGTGTTAATTTGTGTTAACTAGCAGATATGGGGGTTGGATATGTGTGATGTGGATGCAATATTGTGAATCGGTTTTCTGTACTGTATTGTTGTGTTTCCTGTCACTGTGGGCTGCAGAGCGCAGTAGTACACAGCAGAGTCTGTTACAGCGGCAGAGAAGATGATCAGATCCACACGTTTGATTTCTTTTGTAGCTTTTGAATACAGACGAAGATCAGGCTCAGATTTGTTTGAATATTCAGTGAGAAGAAGTAAAAATGTAGGTTTTGCTTTGAGATACTGCCGATACCACTGGAGAGAGTTAACAGTCACACCAGTGGTACTGTAGTTACAAGACAGAGTCACATTTTCACCCTCAAAAACGTGTTTTTCTAAAGTAAATGGTTGTATTGTGTCAGCTGATGAAGTTTCTGTGAAAAAGAAAAGGGATTCAATTAATCAAGCAATAAAGTGATTAAACCATCTATAATCTATATATAAAATCTATATATACAGTGTCACTTTTTGTGACACATTTATGTATTTATTTTGACTGAAATAATACTGAAATTATCTCTTACCCATGCAAAATTGGATTATTATCCAGGTAAAAAGAAACATGTTTGCAGAGAGACGATGATGGCAAAAAAAATAGTTCTTCAATAACTATTTGACTCTGTCATCCTCTCAAACTGTCAACATCAGTGTGAATCTGCTCCTCCCACTGCTGGAGTGTTTTATTCTGTAATAATTGGACAAGACGTCTTTGTGGGGAAATATGATCTACAGGATGAATGTCATAACACACATATTAATAAATATTGCATTAGCAGTGAGCAGCACTTATATAAATTGGTATATCATTGTAAATATGTTTACTGATGTCACTGTGATGGCTTCAAAGAACAGTAAAACATTTGTTTATTTATTTATCAAAATAAATCACATTGAATATGTATATTTACGTTAAGTATGTCAACAACTGCACGTTTCAGAGCTCTTAGTTCTTGTCAGGATGCTTATGTGTTTCAGTCACTGAGCTTGATGATTTGTTGAGATCTGCATGAAAACTTTCATCAAATTCTTTTCCACTGCTTCATGATCCGGTTGAGAGTTTACGGAGCATGTAAACTGGTAATCCATTGGTTTTATGTAGGTTCCAGTAAAGATAAGGGTATGAATCACTGGTACTGTAAGTGCAGTGAAGTTTAACCATCTCATGTTCAGAAGCTGTTTGAACTCTTGTTGGTTGATTGACAGAATCTTGTGTATTGCACTCTGTCAGGAGATATAAAAATGTAAATAAATCAGTTTTCATGTATATTCTGATGTAAGGAGGAATAATTCAATTTAAAAGCAAAGTTATTTTACTTAGAACTGCAGCCAACAGAAGTAAATTCCTTAGCCAGATAAACATAGTTTACTTAAAGCGTATAAAAATTTCAAAGGCAATATTAGTAAAATATGATTATGATAAACATGAGGCAGTCTTAGTTTTGATTTCACTGTGTGTGTTTGCACAGGTTAAACACATATAGGAGGAGCTTGCAAATAGGATACAATTCTGCCACAAAGTGGCCAGGATGTGCAATTACATAACTTAAATTAAAAATAAAAGTAACTCTTAAAGCAGAACTGGTTGCAGTTTTTTTTACTTCCAACACAAGACACAGCGCAAACAGTAAAATTATTATTTTTTAACCATTGTTTTTTTGCTCCACTGTTTCGTTATTTACTCAATAATTAATGTACCTGTTCCCATAATAACAATGATTAGAAAGCATCTGCCCATGTTGAATAAGATGAGCTCAGTTCTTTCTTGAGCCCTTCAATGTTCTGCAGTGTGTGTGTGAAACACTGGAGGTCATAAAGACACCCAGGAACTTCCTGCTCACTGTCACATGGTGCTGTTTGCTTTGAATACAAACTGCTCAAATGAGCACAAATGGTCTATCTGCCTATCTGTCTGTCTGTCGGTCTGTCCGTGAAATGGAAATAAAAATATTTTTGTATGAGCTTTGAGTGTATTATGTCACTGTGGGCCTCAGAGCACAGTAGTACACAGCAGAGTCAGACACACGCACATCCTGGATTGTCAGTGGAAATGATTTTGAAATTGTGTTGAGATTGCCGTTAAATCTTTCCTTGAACTGAATCCTTGAACCAAATTTGCTCAGCATGAATTCTGGGACTCCATTTGCTTTTTGCTGATACCAGAAAAGATTTGGCGATATATCAGTGGTTTCAAATTGACAGTTGATTGTTACAGCTGCTCCTTCAACAGCAGTTTGAACTGTTGTATTTTGTTCAACACTGTCCAGAGAATCACATCCTGTAATTTAATGTAAAACAACCCTGATGATGATCTCATATTCATATTAGGAGTATATTACAGAATAATATATTCCTTACAGAATTTACACTTACTCCAGAAATAGTATGTGATAAAGAAGACTACAATTCTTTTCCAGTTTGTCATCACTATAATTGTTAAAATAATCCGTTAAAATAATCATTTAGATAAAATGAACTCGTTGAAATCTACAGTAGACTCTTGTTTCAGATAAAGTTGTTGTAACACTGTCACATATGCAAAGACCTGCAGGAGGAGTCTGACTGCACAGTGTGTCTGTCTCCTCCTCCTGAAGGATTCTGGTTTTATCAGCTGTAACAAAGTTCATTGGTGAGGGAGGAAGGAGTAACCAGCTTACCAAAAAAAGTAAATTTGAAGTAGTAT